CAAGTCAAGGGTTAAGATCCCCTTACCGGTCATCTTTTAAAAAATAATAATAATAAAATAAAATTAAAATAAATAGTACAATAGCTGTTTTGCTATCATTTATTTTTTCTGTAGTGAACTAACATCACTGCTCAACATACTTCATTGTTTTAATCTGATTAAATCTATCATTATAACTCTACATCTAATATTCTTAAGTTTTATTGAAGTGAGCAGGTAAACTATATGTCAAGCCCTATATTTGGCTGGGATATAGATAAAAATAAGCTTTCAACGACTTATAGTCCGAAAGAAGAGGCAGACATGTAAGCAAAGAAATTACCAAAAAATGTACAAAAAGAGTCACAATCAATGCTTGAATAAATTTCCTTGCAAATCTAATCCTGGGTGGGAGGATAGGAACTGAAGAAATGATTTCTACTGGAAATGATGAGCAAGTCCAAAGATACATAATCTCCAAAAGATACAAAGGGAAAAGTTATAACTCAATCTGGAAAGGAGAATGGTAAAGAAAGTCTTCAAAGAAAATATAAAATCTTAGTCACAAAAAAAGAGAGAGAAGGACATTTCAGAATGTGCATAGTTCTAGGTGCATGACACTAAGGAGTACTCTTTTGCTCCATGCTAAGGTACAAGGGGAGGCAGTAGAAGTAAGGGCAAAAGAGAAGGTGGGAGCCATGCTGTGAGGGCCCTGCATTCCTTGCAAGGCTTGTAGACTTCTATCTGTAGGTGGCAGGAAGCCAAGGAGCATGTGATTGATTTCACATTCTGAGAAGAGCGGTACAGCTTAGCAGTTATGAACACAGTCTTTATCATATTCACATCAGTTCTATTTGCTATGGGGATTTTGGAAAGTTTCTTAATTTCTCCAAAGCTCTGCAGGCAATGGAGAATCACTGAAGAATTCTGACCAGGGGAGTTACACTCCTAGTTTCAGAAATTTATGGTCCACAATCATTCCCTACTTTTATTCTCAAAAGCACTTCTCTCCAAACCACAGAGATTTCTCACGTACTCAACTCAACACAGAACTTCCAGAGTAGAACACCACTACCCTCCTCTTTTCCATAAGAGTGCGTATCTCGCTAATATAGTATATCTCCAAGATCACAAAAGGTTAGGTAAAGCTGTGGTTACCCAGTCAGATTAGTGTAGTAGTTTAATTGTGTCCTCTGGAGCCTGATAAATCTGGGTTCAAACTTCAACCATTCTCCCCTTCACTCACTTCAATACAAGGCCTCCTAGATCATCTACCCATGCTCCAAGCAAAGGGAACTCTTTCCCTCCTTTGCCAGGAACTCTCTTCCTACAAATATACCTCTCTCTCCACGTAGCTGCTGAAATGCACGATATAGATAATTATCAGATATGCATGATAATTATCAGAGAGGTTGCCCCTTACTACCCTGTGTGAAAGAGTGACAACACCCATACCAGAACCTTATCCTACCACTCTCTTGTCTCCTTACTGGGCTTTACTGTTCTACAGAATCCTTATCACCCTCTGACTTATATGTTTCCATGTTTGTTTGTTGTCTGCCTCCCTCATGAAGGCAAGGTCCTTCTATGACATTATTGCTAATTGCCCACAACCTAGAACAGTGCCAGGCCTGTGGTGGGTAAATTCAATAGTGAATAAATAATACTTTCTAGTTATGTAACTTTGTGTACATAATTAATTATCTCTTTCTCAGTTTTCTCATCTATGGAGATGGAAGTAATCATAGTGATTTCACAGGATTATTGCAAGGATTAAATAAGATAATGCACATAAAGCACTATCCTGATTCACAATAAATATTAGTTGTGTGGTTGTTACTATGATTACTATTGTTATGGATGATATTGTCCTATAGCCATGGTATTTAACTCAATGTGTTCAAGGTTTTGTAATATACTGGATGAATTCACTTAATTACATTGAGTATTTTTACCCATACAATGCTGATTAGTGCATATATACTAGTCAGCCAGGGCTTATACTCTCTGGCTCTTGTCTGTTAAAACATTTTTATGAAAGATGTAGTTTCCATAATCTTTAACATGGATGCATAGACAGGTCACATTTCCTTGAAAACCGTTTTGTCACTATAAACAATTCCGATTGCCTGGAGACGTGTGACAGTTCCTAATGTCTACTTCCTGTTCTAAATAGTTTCAATATACTAACCTCCATATCACACATGGTCATTTTACATTTGCCAGCTAAACATTCATGAACTAATTTGGGTTCTCTGAATAATTGACACTGAAGACCAAAAGCATTATTACTGGTATCCCTTTTGTCTCCTGCAACACTTGTTCACAAAGTCACTCTATTACTGCTATGTGGTGATTCACATACATACTTCTATATCGGCATCTGAGTTGAATGTGGGAGTCATTCTGCCTTTGTATAATTTGCTTATAAAAGTTGATCCAATGGGCAACATCTCATACTATTTAAGTTTAACATGAAATCAACTCCTGACGTTGAATTTCATAAGTCAAGAAAAGTTCATTGCTATCCATACTATAATCACAATAGTGGATTTTTATGTAATTCTTTATCTTCTCCAACTGTGCAAAATTCTCTATTTTCCTACTAGGGAAATAAGCAATAGAGAGAGGGCTTCTACAACAGGGCCAGTGTAGTAGACTAGTAGTAGGCAGTACTGCCAAGTGGCAGAGGACCAAACAACACAGGGTTCTGGTTTTGCCACTTACTAGCTCTATGTCCCTAGGAGAGTTACTTAACCTCTTTGCACATGTTTTCTCCTCTGTTAAATGGAGATGATAATAGTACATATTCTGTGAGATGTTATGAGAATTGAATGAACTAACATATCTAAAGCACCTACAACAATGCCTGGGACATAAGTGTTCAATAAACATTGCAGTAGTAGCAGCAGTAGTGGTAGAAATAATTTTAAAAGGTCAAAGGTCAGAATTTTATTTAAGATATAGAAGAAAATCTATTTTAGAAGTACACTAGTCTTTCCCATTTACTTGCATACTCATAGTATAACCTCTGTCAGCAGCTTCATTTTCTAATA